TGCAGGATTTGGTTTCTCTGAGTGTTTTTACCTGAAATCTGCTTTATTTTTAACGGATCACTCAGCCAATCATGTGGTTCTTAAAACCACCATATATCTTCTTATGGATCAACACTTATACTACTACTTATATACACTAAATAAAACACAGAAGAAGAAGAAAATATGGAGCTTTAATTAAATCCATTAAATGCAGTGACTTATATGTTCCTTATATATCAGTTACTAATCAATCAAACATATTCACACACCATTCATTTGAATCATCAATTTGCCTTCAGAGATAATGATAAGAAAAGAGGGAAATTATTTGACTTGATAAAGAAAGATGAAGTTGGTTCATACATGACTGTAAATACTGTTTAAAAAAAGTTGATCTTTTTAACTAATCAAACGACCACACACACACACACACACACACACACACTCACACACACTCACACACACACACACACACACTGACTGTAAATCCTCCCATCAGGACCAGTGACGTGTCTCCTCTCAGCTGGACAAACGGACTGTCTGCTGCCCTCGTTTCTCCTCCTCCTCCTCCCTCAGTTATTATTTCAGGCTGATCACTGTAGCTCTTTCAGTCAGTGTCCATCTCAGCTGTCAGCAGACTCCTCGTCTCCTCCATCCACCGTATACCTCCTGTGGGCGCTCTCGGCCCCCGTGGCCCCCCGGCTCCGGCTGGGCATCAGATCGTCCACCATGCGGTCTCTCCTGGAGAGCAGCTGGATGAAGTTTGGACCGGCCGGCCGGGACTCTCTGGACTGGTCGCCCGGCCCCTCGGCTCTGCCCTCCACCGACAGACAGGCACCGGTGAGTTCAACCACATGTGATGATTATTTTCATTATTAATGAATCTGTTTGTTTTTTTCTTCATCTATTAATAATTTAACATTCAAATCCACTAAGAAGTAAGAGAACAATGGAAACACTTGGTCCACATACATTCACATGGTAAAACTCAGTGCTTTGAAGTTTCTACTTTTTATCAGTATTTAATTACAAACCAAGAGATCCAGATGTTGGAAACTAAACTGAGAAGCTGGTTCATGATCCAGAGAGTAAAACTAATGTAACCATCATGTTTCTTAGATTCCTACTATATGAAGTTAAAAAAGTTTTAGTTTTTATTTCAGAGGCGTCTGATGTTTTGATGCTTGTGCTCAGAGTTTATTTTAAATTTAATTTTAAATAATTTTAATTTCAAATATTTTACTTAATTTAATTTAGTTCACAACCTGTGCAATATCACTTATCTGATGCTATTTTCTTATTTTGTTATATTTAATGTCTAATTGTACATATTATATGATTATAGTATTTATCTTTTTTTAAGAACTTAATATCGTCTTTTTGCAGTTTTTCTTTTTCCTTTGTAACGTCACTTTGCTGCTGTAACACTCTGACTTTCCCACTGAGGGAGTGATAAAGGAATATCTCATCTTAAAAGTCAACCGCAAGATTTAAGACTATTAACAACGTTATTTTATTTTGTTAAAATCTTTATTCAGCATTTTCTCAAGAGCTTGAATGTTTAAAACAAACGTGTTCAGTGGCTTCGTGCTTGTCCCTTTAACCTTCAGCAGCTCTGATGTTCCAGATTAATTCACATAAAGAGGCCAAACAGATGTTTGAGGCTGACAGCTCCCTCTGCTGGCCAGATGTTTTCTGACAGAATTAACTGTGACTTGAACCATAAAACAGGATTTTTTCTTCTTCTACTGTTTTAGTCACTGAGTCACATTTAGTTCAGTCCAACAACCACTTCATCACCTGTGAGTTTATTCTCTGTTCTGAGGAAATAAAGTCAAACATGAACATTTATTCAACCAATGAAATTAATATCAATAACAATCATTATTTTTTCTGTCTTTTTACATTTTGACATAATTCTGTCATTTTTTTTTACTTCAGATGAAAAAAACATTCAATCAGCTGAAACAATGAACCATAAAAATTTAATTAGGAAATGTTAAAATGGGAAATGTTATATTTAATATTAAATATGCTGATGATATAACTGATCAGTGATCAATCAGGTGAATCACACTCTGTATGTTCAGTATGTTTGTTGTTGTTGTTGTTGTGTATCAGGGATTGTGCTTGATGTCAGAATGTAAAAATGTTTCATTTTAGCACCAAGTAAAATAAGTAATTTGTTTTTTCCTCTTCTTCATTGGTGTATATTAATACACACTGTCAGCACCGTCACATTTTTATATTCACACACAAAACCTGTTTTTAAAAAGTCTTTTTAGAAGATTAATTGTGAAAATGAAACTGATTAATGGAAGAAGAAAACTGAGCTGATCATGTGTCTAACCACAGAAAATGTCGTTCATCTTCTTGTGTCGGACTCTCAGGGCCAGAGCTCGGGCGAGACCATCCTCAGTGCAGGATCCATCGCCTACATCACCGTAGCAACCGTCTCCGTCCTCCTGCTGTTCCTCAGCATCCTCGGCTTCCTGATCTGGCGCCGCAGGCGGGGCTTCAGCCTCAACGGCAAGCTGGGATTGGCCAACGTGATCGCCCTGGAGGACCTGCAGGACCCAGAGAGGAACTGCGAGCTGCTGTCCTCCATCCGCCGCAGCAGGGGGCAGAACCAGCTCCCCAGCTCCAGCTCAGAGCAGGATGTGACGGACGGCGTCTTCCTCATGGTCTACCTGCCCTCGCCGTACGAACAGACCCTCACCAGGATCGCCAGGGCAGCCAGCACCAGCAGCTCCAAGGACATGGAGCTGCTGCCGCCAAGTCCAGGACCAGACACCGGCAGCAGGGGTGAAGAAGAAGGGATGAGCGACTAGGCAAACATAGAAGAAGAAATCAGGGACCAAACCAAGGCAGGAGGATGATCACACATCCAGCTCCACCTTCCTACACACCCAGCACTAGACTCTACGTCAAACTAGACGAGTTAGAAGAAGACAGCACCATCGCTCCGCCCTCTCCTGCTGCACCAACAGCTCCCTGAAGATCTCAGGGAGGATGTGGTTTGGTTGACTGGGGTCTTCCGTCCTCCCACTGGACGAGACACCCTCACTGATTCGCTCCCAGCTGCTGGACGCTCCAGACTCTGAGACGGAATGACTGTTTAGTTTGTCAGTGACGATGCCGGTCTGTTACAGGGACCAAACCTCGTTCAACCTACGTTCAAGCTGTAAACCCCTTTCTGTTCCCTGCTGCCCCTGAAGAAGGTGCAGAGTCGACGCAGATGTTTTTAGCATATGTTTTTATAGTGTATATGATTCCTCTTACAGAACGTGGAACCAGAATTTCTCTTATTTGCTTGTTTTCTTTGTAAAAATGTAAATCAGGACTGAAAATTTTTTACTCCTCTGTGTATGTTCTGTTTATGTGTAGCATGTAGTTGTATTTCCCCACAGTTTATAACTTTAAATAAAAATGAGTGTTGACAGTTTTACAGCCCTTCATAGAAACAGGAAAATCTTTTATTTTGTAATACTGATATTTTATTTTTACTGTGTGATATTTGCAGTATATATTTTTTGTCTCGTTGTCTGACCTCTGGATACATTGGTTGATGAAATAAAGAGGATAATTCTCTGACAGTGTTTTACAGTATTTCATCTGTGTGTCAGTAACATCAAAGGAAAAGTAAGATTTACTCAATAACTTCCTCTTAAATAAAAAACAGAACTTCACTTATAATGTAAAAATAAATTTAAAAAAGATGAGGTGATTTTGTAAAAGTTTGTTTTATGTTTTTCACTGTTTGTAAAATAAAAAGACATAAATTCATACTGGATTGTGGCTGCAACTCATTATTATTCAAAAATGAATTCATTAATTATTTTCTGATTAACTGTTTGAACTTTAAAAACCACACACAAACCTCCAAGTGGAAGAACCAGAAACTGCAGTTCCTCTAAAGACCACTAGAGACTCGCTCCAACCGTGAGTCAGTCCCCATAGACTCCCATGTTAAAATATCCAACTTTACAGCAGAAATCAACATGTTTACAGCCTGGTACAAAAACTGTTTTGTAGGGGGGTTTCATTTTGATATAACTCACCCTTTTTAATTTGATCAGAGGTTAAAGTTCTGCCTGACTGAGGGAGTGGCCGCTATGAGTGACAGGTGGAGGTAGATTTGTCTCTATGTTAGAACACATTGACAATCAGTGTGTAAATGTTTAATCTGCTAGTTTATTCAAAACGCACAGCCTTTACTTTGAAGGCGAGCGTGCGTCTTCATTCAGTGGAACAATAACACACTCCAAGCTGCTAATACAGAACGAGCTCACAAACGTCATCATATTTCATACATCTGCACTTAGCACAAGCAGGACAATCAAATTAGGTATTAACATATATATATTCATTATACAACGTGAGCAACTGCAGAAGATTCATACTTCATGCACGGACCTTCAGCTGCTGTACTTCTACTATCAGTCCACCAAATGGCGCCATGAAGCTGCAGTGAAGTGAAGAGTCTGTTTGTACCATTGAATTTTTGTTCTGACTGTAATTTATGAATTATATGTTATTGGCCATTGTTACTTGTTGTGCATATTTATGTAGACAGATAAATAATATAATAATGATAATAATGATAGTTTATCAAACAGACAGACAAGAACAACACTGAGAGCACCTGTAAACACTTATTTTATTACTAATTTTGATATAAATAATATAAAATTCGAATTATTATTATCAATAATAACAATAATTATTAACAATATAATTATAAATAATAACTATAAAAATATAGTTTCATATTTTTACTGTTTATGTATCATTATTGTATCATAATCATTGTCAGTATTATTCCCCCCTTAATTTATTTATTTATTTATTGTGTTGATTACATTTTTTTTTTTTGTATTTTATTTTTTAAACACATGATGTTATGGGTGTGTGTGTGTGTGTGTGTGTGTGTGTGTGTGTGTGTCACCGACGACACAAGAATCTCGCGACATTTTCGGCTTCCACGTCGCTCAGTTTGCATGACGTCATGACGTCGTCCTGCGTGCCGTGCGGATGTTCAGTAGCGTCGTAATGTTGTTATGTGGATCTTAGAGACTAAAACATCAGAGTTTTATTGTTTGTGCGGAGATTAAACTTCCGTCAGTCCGTCGAGGGGGCAGTCACACGGTCACCTGCCCGGGACAGAGACGGTCAACCACCGGATAAACTGCTGCTACTGCTGCGGGGAAAATGTCTGCGGGCTCCGGGAGCAGAAACACGAACACGGAACCGTGGGGGAGCTTCGATGACAACCTCATCCAGGTGAGCTAACAGGCTAAACTGCTAACTAAAACACTGCTAACCGGTTAACTAACAAGCTAATCTACTAACTTACCACCTAACTAACAGGCTAACTAACAAGTCTGGAGATAACCAGGTTAAACCCAAGTTGTTGTTCAGTGGTGGAGAGTAACTAAGTACATGTACTGCAGTAGTGTACATTTGAGGTACCGGTGCTTTACTGGTGCTGCTCCTCATTGATCCGTCACTTCACAGATTCTCATCATTGATCAAAAATATAACCAATAAATAATTGATGTTACAACAGATAAATAAATCTGTAATAAGAAGAATATAAAGTCTTCAATATCAGGCCCAACATTAAACTGATTAGTTCAGTGACTATTGATTATTTTCATTAATCTGCCAATCAGTTTCTCAGTTAATCGATGAATCAGTTTGTGTGATGAAACTTAACTCAGCAACTGTTGAATTTTGAATTTAAAAACGATTCAAAAGATGAATCTATTATTAAAATGGTTGCTTTTTCATTTTCTGTTAATCCACTTATTGATTCTCACACACACACGACATTCTGTGATTGATAAGACACAAACACGTCTGAATGAGGATTGATCCCGTGTTTCCTCATGTGTTCCAGGGCGGCGGCTCGGCGGTCATCGACATGGAGAACATGGACGACACGTCGGGCTCCAGCTTCGAGGACATGGGGGAGATGCACCAGAGGATGAAGGAGGAGGAGGAGGTGGCGGCGGAGGCGGCCGCCACCGAGGACGACAATCCCGACGACGGGGAGTTTCTGGGCATGAAGGGGATAAAGGGTCAGCTGGGCCGACAGGTGGCTGACGAGGTGAGCGCCACTGAGGACGGGGGTCAGAGGTCATCCACGCACAGACTTGACCATCTAACGAGAAAATAATTCTGTGACGATAAGCTGATTAGTTAGAAAATAATCAGTAGCTGCTCTGATGATCATTTCCTGATTCTCTTTTATGTTCATTCTGAAGTAAATATTGACAAACGTTCGATGGTTCCAGCTGCTCCAGGAAACTGAATCTTTTTGGTTAATGTGATAATGTAATGATAAAGTAATCAATAATGATAATCGTCTGGAGACTTTTATTTTAATGTCACTGGGAGGTCGAGGATCCGTGAGGTCTTCCTCACGCTGATGGGACTTCCTGTGGACTTCTTCTCTGTTTTTTGAACTGGTCAGATCAGTTGTAGCTGAGTCCTGATCCCTGTGTGATGTGTCCAGGTGTGGCAGGCGGGGAAGCGTCAGGCCTCCAAAGCCTTTAACCTTTATGCCAACATCGACATCCTGAGGCCGTACTTTGACGTGGAGCCGGTTCAGGTCCGCAGCAGGTAGGACTCTCCACGCTTCCTGTTTCCTGTCTGCCCTTTCCTGTTTCCCGCTCTGTCTGACTGCCGTCTGCTCTGCGTCTCCCAGGCTGATCGAGTCCATGATACCTGTCCGCATGATCAACTTCCCCCAGGTAACCACACACAAACATGTTTCCACCTGTGATCCAGGATCAGGTTTGTGTCCTCTGACAGTTCGTTCTCCCTCCGTAGAAGATCGCAGGTGAGCTGTACGGTCCTCTGATGCTGGTCTTTACTCTGGTGGCCATCCTGCTGCACGGGATGAAGACTTCAGGAACTGTCATAGTAAGAACACACACACACACACACACACACACACACACAGATACACACACACACACACACACAGATACACACACACAGATACACCTGGAAACGCAAACCTAACAAAAAACGCTAACCTCCAGAAACACGTGGGGCAATTGGTTCTGTTGGGGCACTGATGAGTGTGTGTGTGTGTGTGTGTGTGTGTGTGTGTGTGTGTGTGTGTGTGTGTGTGTGTGTGTGTGTGTGTGTGTGTGTGGTGTGTGGTGAGTGTGTGTGTTCGTTGTGTGTGTGTGTGATATCCAGAGGGAGGGGACTCTGATGGGTACGGCTATAGGAACGTGTTTCGGTTACTGGCTCGGCGTTTCCTCCTTCATCTACTTCCTGGCGTACCTGGTCAACGCTCAGATCACCATGCTGCAGATGCTGTCCCTGCTGGTCAGTACTGGTACTACAACTACACATGTACACACTACACACACTACACACACTACACAGTGTCAGTGCCATCCAAACTGTGGTAATCATGTAGAGTGCTTTTAACCTTTTTTTTTCTCAACCTAATTAACACAATGTACTTCCTGTCTGCTGTCGTCAGGGTTACGGTTTGTTTGGTCACTGCGCTGTCCTCCTCATCACCTACAACATCCACTTCCACTTCCTGTTCTACGTCCTGTGGCTGCTGGTTGGAGGACTGTCCACCCTGCGTATGGTAAGGACTACATTTCCCATCAGCCCCCTGGTTCTCCCACAACTGTGGACTCACCTGATGTCCCATGTGTCTTCCTCTCAGGTGGCGGCTCTGCTGTCTCGTACGGTCGGACAGACGCCTCGTCTCCTCCTCTGTGGGACTCTGTCTCTGCTGCACATGCTCTTCCTGCTCTACCTGCACTTCGCCTACCACAAGATCGTAGAAGGTGAGACGCACACCTGTGCACCTGACGCCATCATTTACTGAGGTCATGTGACTGAGTGTAAACAGTTCACCTCCTTGCATCAGAGTGTCATTTTTGTGTCTGAGTGAGACCTCCTCATTGTTTTTGTGTCTGAGTGAGACCTCCTGTCGTTGTCGTTTCAGGGCTGCTGGACACTCTGGAAGGACCCAACCTGGCTCCCATGCAGCGTGTGGCCAGAGACGTGCCTGAACTGACACTCAACGCCACATTGAGGAACCTGGGGGCCTCACTGAGGGTCCACTGAGGCCCCCACTCTCTCAGAGACGCTGTCAGTCATCTTTTAAAAGAAGAAAGTTTCTGTTTCACTATAAAAGTTCATTGGTGGGAAACCTAAAATAACAGAATGATCACAACTCAAAGGTCCGAGTGGAATCACATCAGCATGTGACAACTGAGCGGATGAAGACCATGACGGCTCCTGAAAAAGCTAATAAGTGGCCTTTGAGTAGGGATGATTCTGTGTTAATGTCCTCTGAAGATGAAGCTTCATGTTCATGAAGTCAAACTTTTTCTCTCTCAGCTCTTGTACATTTTTTATTCATTCTGTAACATTTTGTTTTGGCTTTTGTGTTCTCATGTTAAGATGTATTTATAGTTTCTGTACAGAAACCCCGAGTAAACTTTATGGACTTTGGTTGGAGTCACTGAGATAATCCACACTTTATTTAGTAAAACAACATCATTTAAATTTACAAAGAGATTCTTTCTCGACATTTTGGTATTTCATCTATCAGCAGAGTTTCAAGATGAATGGTCGCCGTCCTCAAAACATTATAATGATCAAGATTATTTAATTGTAAGCAGAAAAATCTGAGGTCAAACAGCAGCTTAATTCAGACTTAATGCAGAGTTCACGCTTCATTTGTAAATATAACTCCACCACTAAACTAATTTACAAGACAAAAGTATCATCAGAATATACTTAAAGACCAAAAGTAAAAGTACCCAGTATGCAGAGTCATATATAATGTTGTATTATAAATATTGATGCATTAATGTGTTCATCACTTTAATGGTTCATTTGAATTATTTTATATTCAGCTGGGTAGTTTGTGAATTTCCCCCGTGGATGAATAAAGTTTTATCTGTAAAAAAAACCCAACAAGGTTATTTATTTGAATTTTTTTTTTTTAAATTTACTTAAGTAAAGTAGATGTGTAAATGTAGATTACCTCAGAATTATACTGAAGCACAGGAGTTTAAATTATTTTAATTTTCCACCTCTGTTGCTCTGAAGCAAGAATAACACAGGCTGTGAAAACGATTATTTTGAAAGGTGTAACAGGAAGTTTGTGGGAAATATAGAAACAAATGAATAGATTTTGGATTAATACAGAAAGTGCAACATAAATCTTTATTTTGAGACTTCAGCCTAATGAAGTGGGGCTTTGCTGCCCTGAGCGCTGTCTATTAGGTAACTCCTCCCCTCAGCTGGTCACCTCCTCCATCCTGGACCAATCAGAGGCGACAGAGTTCAGACTGTTGCTGTTCAGCCAATCACAGCGGAGAAATAACGGCATCTGTTAACATTGGCGCACCTGACAGACTGCGCTCCGGGTTATAGGAGTATTGGTTTACATGTCACGTAACCACGTCACGTCAGGTCACCACGCAGAGGCTCATTTGCAAACAGCGCGGGAAGCGGCAGCAGGAGGACGCAGGCAGAACCGGTGGAGCAGGTCGTGAAGAGGATGAAGGTTTATTTCTGCGGGAGTATCCGCGGCGGGAGAGATGACGTGGCGCTGTACCGGAGGATCGTGGAGAAGCTGCAGAGCTACGGGACCGTGCTAACCGAGCACGTGAGCAGCACAGAGCTCAGCGACAGAGGTCAGAGGTCACTCTCAGTGCTGTAGTGGCTGCATTGTAATTCATACACCAGAAAATTTGATTCAGTGTGTTATTCACAGACGTGACGTCATTACGACGTTAACATTAGCCGCAGTGGAGTTGCAGATTTACCATCCCACAGACTGTAAAGTGAGATGACGTCATTGTGCATTTTGAGTGAACTGTCCATTCATAAATGAAGATTGAACAGCTGTTCTCTCACCTTGCTTTTAAAACCAAAGGTGCAGATTGCAAATATTACTGGTCCTGCACAGAGTAATGCAGGAATAAAGATATTCAACATGAGGAAAACATGGTGTTTCAGTCACACTCATTTATTTTTTCTTTGTTCAAAACATTTTCCACTTCAACTTACTGAAACAATTGAACATTGAAAATGGAGGAAACAATCAAAACTTCTGAAAAAGTAAAATGTGAACAATACAAACAAATAAAATAAATACAAGGAAAGGAAATAAATGCAACAAATAGATAAAGATGGTGAAACAAAAATAATGAACAAAAGTAATTCATGAAAGAAAACATTTAAGACTAATTACGTTTAACAAACATTCAGAATGACACAACTGATTAAAACTAAACACTATTGCAGCTTTGAGATTACTGAGGTATGTGTGATGTCACTGAGCTGCTGTGCTGTGATTGGACAGGTGAGGACGCCTCAGCAGCCGGAGACAAGTTTATTCATGACCGAGACGTGGACTGGCTCCGACAGTCTGACGGTGAGGATAATTGATTATTGATTATTGTGTGTCAGTGTCTGCAGGCAGCTTCTGTTTCACCTGTTGACCTCTGACCTTTCGGTGTTTGTTGTCTGACCTCTGACCTCAGTGGTGGTGGCAGAGGTCACGCAGCCGTCTCTGGGTGTTGGTTATGAACTCGGCCGAGTCGTTGACATGAAGAAAAAAACCTTGTGCATGTTCAGGCCGTTGTCAGGACGCGGTGAGGACACTTCCTGTTTTACATATTTACTAACCTGCTGACCACACCCCTACAGCTCTGTGAGCCAATGGGAGGAGAGAACAGAGTCCAGGTGTGTTACGTCTGTTAGTGTTTTTTTTTTTGTTTGTTTGTTTGTTTGTTCCGCTCTTGATGATCCACATCATCCTACGATAACTTCTGTTATGATTTGGAACGATGTAAATAAAATTGATTTGACTTCACTTACATTAAAAAGCAAAGGTTACATTGCTAAAGTTAAAATGTTAATATTACAAAACTTACCATACATTTCAGGGTATGGTCCAGATCTGCTCTATATGAAAGGTGCCCTAAGATAACTTAAAATGCTACTGCTAGCTAATGCCAGTTGTTACAATACTAGCTTAAAATATTAAAAAGCTAACTTTAGAATGGTAATGTTACAGTACCAAAGTTTAAATGTTAACATTAAAAGTTAAAATTTGAAAATGAAAATGTTAACATGCCAAAGATATACTTTAGTGGCTGAAAAGGAAGTGACACACCTAACACCGTGCTCTCCTCCCAATGCCTCACAGACCTGTGTATACAGGTGAGGTCAGCAGGTGACCCCTACAGCATTAACTTCTTGTCTCTGTGTAGTTCTGTCGGCAATGATTCGGGGAGCAGATGACGGCGAGCGGTTCGTGGTGAGAGATTACAGCGAGGACGAGGTGGAGAACGTTCTGGAAGAGTTCTTCAACACACTAAAGAGATCCTAAAGATGCTGGAGAACATAAAACCTCTGTAAATGAAGTCAGACTGAGACTATGTTCATGACTGAACGACTCAATAAAGTTGACTGAGAGAAACTCTTTGTGTTCAATTAAGTCATAAAAGGTTCACAATATAGTAAGGCACAAATACTGAAAGTATAGTATGGTAAGATATAAAAACGACATACTATAGTTAGGCATAAAAAGGCATAAAAACGATATCGTATAGTAAGGTATAAAAACAACATAGTATAGTAAGGCATAAAAGTCATAATAACGACATAGTAAATTAAGGCATAAAAAGTCATAATAACGACATAGTATAGTAATGCATAAAAGTCATAATAACAACATAGTAAATTAAGGCATAAAAAGTCATAATAACGACATAGTATAGTAATGCATAAAAGTCAAAAAAAGGACATAATATGGTAAGGTATAAAAACGACAGTATATTAAGGCATAAAATTCATGAAAATGACATAGTATAGTAAGTGATAAAAAGTCATAATAATAACATAGTATAGTAAGTTATAAAAGTCATAAAAACGTCATAGTGTAGTAACGCAAAAAAAGTCATAATAAAGACATAGTATAGTAAGGTATAAAAACGTCATAGTATAGTTAGGCAAAAAAAAGTTATAAAAAAGACAGTTTATTAAGCCATAAAAACAACATAATATATTCAGCCATAAAAGTCATAAAAACAACAAAGTATACTAAGGCACAAAAGTCATAAAAACGTCATAGTGTAGTAACGCAAAAAAAGTCATAATAAAGACATAGTATAGTAAGGTATAAAAACGTCATAGTATAGTTAGGCAAAAAAAAGTTATAAAAAAGACAGTTTATTAAGCCATAAAAACAACATAATATATTCAGCCATAAAAGTCATAAAAACAACAAAGTATACTAAGGCACAAAAGTCATAAAAATGACATAGTATAGTAAGGCATAAAAAGTCATAAAAATGTCATACTATAGTAAGCCATAAAAATGACACAGTATAGTAAGGCATAAAAAGTCATAAAAATGTCATACTATAGTAAGCCATAAAAACGACATAGTACAGTAAGGCATAAAAGTCATAAAAATGACATAGTATAATAAGGTATAAAAACGTCATAGTATAGTTAGGCAAAAAAAAGTTATAAAAAAGACAGTTTATTAAGCCATAAAAACAACATAATATATTCAGCCATAAAAGTCATAAAAACAACAAAGTATACTAAGGCACAAAAGTCATAAAAACGACATAGTATAGTAAGGCATAAAAAGTCATAAAAATGTCATACTATAGTAAGCCATAAAAATGACACAGTATAGTAAGGCATAAACGTCATAAGACGACATAGTATAGTAAGGTATAAAAACGACATAGTATAGTTAGGCATAAAAGTCATAAAAAACGACATAGTACAGTAAGGCATAAAAATCATAAAAATGACATAGTATAGTGAGGCATAAAAGTAAAAAAAAAACGAGTATAGTAAGGCATAAAAGTCATAAAAAGCGACATAGTACAGTAAGGCATAAAAGGCATAAAAAACGACATAGTACGGTAAGGCATAAAAGTCATAAAAAGCGACATAGTACAGTAAGGCATAAAAGGCATAAAAAACGACATAGTACGGTAAGGCATAAAAGTCATAAAAAGCGACATAGTACAGTAAGGCATAAAAGGCATAAAAAACGACATAGTACGGTAAGGCATAAAAGTCATAAAAAGCGACATAGTACAGTAAGGCATAAAAGGCATAAAAAACGACATAGTACGGTAAGGCATAAAAGTCATAAAAAGCGACATAGTACAGTAAGGCATAAAAGGCATAAAAAACGACATAGTACGGTAAGGCATAAAAGTCATAAAAAGCGACATAGTACAGTAAGGCATAAAAGGCATAAAAAACGACATAGTACGGTAAGGCATAAAAGTCATAAAAAGCGACATAGTACAGTAAGGCATAAAAGGCATAAAAAACGACATAGTACGGTAAGGCATAAAAGTCATAAAAAGCGACATAGTACAGTAAGGCATAAAAGGCATAAAAAACGACATAGTACGGTAAGGCATAAAAGTCATAAAAAGCGACATAGTACAGTAAGGCATAAAAGGCATAAAAAACGACATAGTACGGTAAGGCATAAAAGTCATAAAAAGCGACATAGTACAGTAAGGCATAAAAGGCATAAAAAACGACATAGTACGGTAAGGCATAAAAGTCATAAAAAGCGACATAGTACAGTAAGGCATAAAAGGCATAAAAAACGACATAGTACGGTAAGGCATAAAAGTCATAAAAAGCGACATAGTACAGTAAGGCATAAAAGGCATAAAAAACGACATAGTACGGTAAGGCATAAAAGTCATAAAAAGCGACATAGTACAGTAAGGCATAAAAGGCATAAAAAACGACATAGTACGGTAAGGCATAAAAGTCATAAAAAGCGACATAGTACAGTAAGGCATAAAAGGCATAAAAAACGACATAGTACGGTAAGGCATAAAAGTCATAAAAAGCGACATAGTACAGTAAGGCATAAAAGGCATAAAAAACGACATAGTACGGTAAGGCATAAAAGTCATAAAAAGCGACATAGTACAGTAAGGCATAAAAGGCATAAAAAACGACATAGTACGGTAAGGCATAAAAGTCATAAAAAGCGACATAGTACAGTAAGGCATAAAAGGCATAAAAAACGACATAGTACGGTAAGGCATAAAAGTCATAAAAAGCGACATAGTACAGTAAGGCATAAAAGGCATAAAAAACGACATAGTACGGTAAGGCATAAAAGTCATAAAAAGCGACATAGTACAGTAAGGCATAAAAGTCATAAAAATGACATAACATAGTATAGTAAGGTATAAAAACGTCATAGTATAGTGAGGCATAAAAGTTAAAAAAAACGACATAGTACAGTAAGGCATAAAAGTCATAAAAATGACATAGTATAGTAAGGCATAAAAACGACATACTATGGTGAGGCATAAAAAGGCATGAAAACAACATAGTAAAGTAAGGCATAAAAATCATAAAAACGACACAGTATAGTAAGGCATAAAAGTCAAAAAAACGACATAGCATATTAAAGTATAAAAAAGACATAGTATAGTGAGGTATAAAAACGACATACTATAGTGAGGCATAAAAAGGCATGAAAACGACATAGTATAGTAAGGCATAAAAAGTCATAAAAACGACATAGTATGGTAAGGAATAAAAACGACATACTATGGTGAGGCATAAAAAGGCATGAAAATGACATAGTATAGTAAGGCATAAAAAGTCATAAAAACGACATAGTATAGTAAGGCATAAAAACGACATAGTATGGTAAGGCATAAAAACGACATACTATGGTGAGGCATAAAAAGGCATGAAAATGACATAGTATAGTAAGGCATAAAAAGTCATAAAAACGAAATAGTATAGTAAGGCATAAAAAGCCATAAAAACGACATAGTATAGTAAGGCATAAAAACGACATAGTATAGTGAGGCATAAAAGTCATAAAAACAACATAGTATTGTAAGGTATAAAAACGACATACTATAGTGAGGCATAAAAGTTAAAAAAAAACGACATAGTATAGTAAGGCATAAAACGTCATAAAAATGACATAGTATAGTAAGGCATAAAA